CACAAGCCGCAACGTATCTTGTGACTGAGCGTTGTTATGCCTGCGAGTCCACAGCGAACGTCCATGCCTCTGAAAAAGGCAATCTGTGTCAAGGCCAGCCCGCGAGCCCGCCTGACGCGAACAACTCAACGGCGTCAACACGCGGCGGTGCCTCTCTGCCGCGCACGCACAGTGAGTCACCTCAGCCAGCGAGCCCGTCAAGCAAGCAACCGGCGCCTTCCTGTCTGGCGGGTCTGACGCAATGCGTGGCGACGTCACTCGTTCTTGGGCGCAGCCACCTTCAGCGCAGCCTCTCCAGATTCGATGAGAATGACGCGGCCCAGCGGCAACCCCATTGGGGGAGTCTGACCTCACGACCAGCGGCGCTTCTGATTGGACATTTGTTTTCTCAAAGAATCCACCCGGTGCATATAAAAGAAGCCCTGCGGCGCGTCGCGAGCAGCAGACCTATGTGTTAGAGAGGAGAGCTCGGCTCTTCGGGTCTCTAAGCTGTCGGCCCCAGTGCCGAATTCGTAACGCCTCTGTATATATGCTGTACATAAACCTTGTTTAACTCACCGTCGTCTCATCCGCTCGTCTATCAGCTCTGCGCAGAAGCAGTCGCGAGCTGAGAAACCTACGCTACCAAACGGCTGGTGACCTTCCCGGCGGAGTTCGAAGCAGTGGCGCCTTCGGGACCGTGTTGGCGTCGCCGTCTTTCGAAACAGTGGTTGCAGCGGTGAGATTCGTGGCGCCCTTCGTAACGTCGTCGGAGGCGCGCTTCGCAACAGTGGTTGGCAGCTGCGGGATCGGCCGGCGTCTGCGACATCGATGTGGTGAGTGCCTGATGTTTTCCCCTCAGTTCACCAGACTACTCTAGCTCAGGTTATAGTAGTTTAGAGAAGGGCTGTGTGAAGCATTGAAGTGAGCTTCGATCGTTTCAAGCAAAGTCGAAGTGCGTTGAAACCAAAGTTAATGCGGAGGGGGTAAACACGGTAGTGTTAAAAATTGCTTGCGCGTCTTGCTAGTAGACTTATATTGGGTACGGCAAGTAAATTCTTAACAGGGGCAAACAGCAAGAGGCTAGTGTGAACGAACAGCAAACATTATTATTTTGTTTTGTTGTTTTTATCCTCCGGCACAGGCACTTTGGTTGTGACAGTGTTATAGTGTTAGGAAACTCCGATACTTTTTAACAGTGATACTCTTGAAGCTCGAGGTAAAAGATCGGGTGACCGCGAAAAATCATCTGCGCCGTTTTTTATTAATAAGCTTATTTTGTGGACCACACCAAAATCAATTTCCTTGTTACCAGAGCACGCTGTACATAATCACTTCTCTTGACAACAGTGTCTCTCACGAATGGCAAGATTTGTTTTCCGAGATTATGGAAGATTTCGGAGATTATGGAATTTGTTTTCCGAGATTATACCAAGGAAGTTATATTCGCGCAAAGGGCGTATGCATTCAGTGATGCGAAGCTAAAAAAAAAAAAGGCGCGGTGCAAACTTTTATGCACAAAACGTTCGAAGTGCGAAGCCTACCTTTTGCATGCTCTTATTTGAGCTTCGTGGTTATGAACGTTAGGGTTACAAACTAAAGCAGTGAAAGGAAGGCGTGTTTATAGTGTTGCAGAAACTGACCTAAATGACTTGGATCGCTCGCTTAATGAGCTTAAAACTCCGAAGATGCATTTTACTACGAAAATTTTCTTTGTCATCTCATGTGTAAACGAATCTACCCGATCTGTGTGCGAGACTTCCGAGATTTCCCAAATTTGAATTTGTTGCTCCGAAAACAAGCAAAACAACAATAGAAACAAGGAAAAGGTCACGCATTTTTTTTTGCACTGTAGCTAGCATGTCAGCCATATTAGAACCGCGGCTTCTTCCGCCTTATATTATACGTGTTTCTTCCCCGTTGTATGCTTTTGTTTATCTAAAATGGTCCGATAGTGCAAATGAAGCAGGCGAAATTTAATGAACATTTATCTCTGGTTTAAGGTCACTGTTTGTCGGCAATCTTGCAGCTCACACTGAGCGGAGATTCGCAATGCCACAAGCTATCTGGGCAAGCACCTTAGCGGGAAGTCACGATGAGGACAAGTCTCAATCGTGTTAGAGTGCGCACGACCACATAATTAAGTGAATACGTACTAAGCAAACGTTTAAAAAAGTTCCAGCTTTGCCGCTAAGGCAAAGCAGCGAACGTGATAACAACAAAGTGGGCGGTCACGTGCAGAATCGAAAGCATATTGAAACATGACTCGCGTTTCTCATGCACAAATGACGCACGAAACGTACTCACAGGTACAGATGAACGCTAACAAGCGTTTCAGTTGTTACTTCGCTGTGTCTTAAAAGCGCGCCCTTTTCCCAAACAGAGACTGTGCAATGATTGCAGTGACCTTTGTGCCACTGGTAACTACAACAGAACCGTTCCGGTGAAATCTCAAGGGCAGCCTAGACGTACGAATCTCCCAACCACGAGATGAGCTAGGGCGCGCGACCGAGTGTCTATTCCCTCCTCTCCGCGGGGCAAAGTACGCGTGGAAGATGAGAGCGGGCGCCGCGCGTCGTGACGATGTAGCGACGCGCACTCACTGCGCCATTTTTTTCGGGTAATGCCGAAAACACGATAAGTCCCTTTCCCTAGATGCCCGTCAACAGCGGTAAGTGGTAGATATAAATAGCTTGCCGTTTCAAGATTCATGGACGTGCCTCTCAGTGACTAACGCCTCGAACTCGTTTTCAGAGGTCCCAAGTTTGATTCTGCGCGCCGAAGTCTTTTTCTGAATTATTTTTCCTCCTTGCGTTTTCGTGCATATAAATACATTTACTTGTACAGTGAGTCATGGTGACGTCGATGCCGACGCCGGCGGTAAAATTCAGCCGAGGTTATAATAATTGCTATCGCAATAAAACACCTAGTACCAAGGACACAGTGGGGCTTAAGTCTGGGTCGACAGCGTGCGAGTCCAGTATTCTGCCACTGAGCCTCGTTCGTGCATCAGACTCGTTCACAAAGTTGCCTTAGGCAGGCTTGATAGCGGGAAAGGAATCGTGTTATTATGACTAATAAAGCGCTTTACGGCAGCAAAAGAACAACCAGGCGTCGCACAATGTGAATTGCGTAACGAGTGGGTCGTCCAATCTTCGAACCCATTACAAAAGCTTGTTCTTGATCAACTAATAACTGTGGAGCGTACCCACTTCAGGCATCAAGCGCTAACCACATGCACGCGATTTCCTGGCGACAACGACAAACTTGCTCCGTCGCACTGTCGCGTCGCGACGACTGCAACCGCATGTCGGCGGCAAAGTATCATTGTTGCTTGAATGAAAACTATCGCGTGCATACCCATAAATTGTGAATAGAAGTTTAAAAGTTGGTCTATGACAACGTGTTAAGTTTATTACGTTCTTTGTGATATAAGGAATCCCCAAAAGCATCTCACGACATTATTTTTTCGCAATCATTGGTGTAACCCACAGGCCGCCCAGAAGCCTTTGTTACGACGGCTGTTACGACGGAGTGTAGTCGATACCTTGCAATCATTGAAGTACGCGCGGATAACAAGCATCGAGAGCAAATCACAAACGAAGCGAGGAACAGGGGCGCAGTCATGTTGACGGATATCGCCACACTGGCTTCTGGGCGACAAGCGATATTTTCTCGTTTTTCAGAAATGAGGGACGCGATGAGCGGCGGCGACGGATGGGCCTCCATGACTGCAAATCTTGTCGCTCGTCGCGGTCGTTTGTCGTTGTGGTGGGGAAATCAAGAGAAGACAAGATCCTTGACGATGTGGCGCATACCCACGCTGCATGGGGGATTCGCGCACATGTGGTTAGGGCTTTAATACCTCATCGTCATTAGCCACTGCATCAACAATTGACACATAATTATTTGCAAGTGCTTAGCGGATACCGCGCTTCTCACAAGAATGCCCTGCAATTGATATTAAGGCCGTAGTGGGCTATTATTTCGTGTACTAAGCAAGTGTGCTTGCAGCATTTACCCACTCAGTGTGTAGAAAAGGCTTTGAAAGGCTGCTTTTCTAGCTTTCGATGTGACTGTGCTACGCCTTTTGAACAGGCCTTTTTTTTTAGCTGACCTTTGTTTTTTTCGAAATAGGCTCTAAACAACTTGCTCTACCTCATTAGTCTGCATAGCAATGTCATCAATACACATCAAATAAAAGCGCTTCTGCCCGGCCCGTCCCCATTCCTAGCCCCCTTCCTTCGCATCTGAATCTGAACTGCCTTTGTTCTTCGACGCGCTTTGACAGTCATAATTATGAACATTCCAGTACCGGCTTTCCACACCTGTTCGTGTACTCGTCATTACGTGTACTCGTCAGCCAGAATATGTGGACAGTCCTTGGAAAACACCACCATTGGCACTGTCACTGACCGAGATTTGCTTAATTACATTGAGCTCGAAAGTAGCTTGAAATTCACCTTGAAATGGAATCCAACACAACATGTTCACATTTTTAGGAGCATTTAAGCTTCTTTTTTTTTTAGTCCAGTCATTTAAGTTTGTAGTGGCAGGCAAAAAGATTGCGATGCGTGTGCGAACTGAGCAGAATCAAGAAACAACTGAGAGAGAGAGAGAAACAACATTTTTTGTGCATCCGGCGTGCGGGAAGTCCGCGCAGGGCGCGGGTATTCCCTATCTAAAAACTATAGCTAATAGTCCTATAGTCCCAGGCTCTAGATCTTGAGGACGTTGTGCTCTGGCTAGGCATTGGATACTCGGGCTCCTCCGCTCCCGTTGTCCGGGGCGTCGGTTCCCTTTCTCGTCTGCTTTGCCAGGGCCTCCTCAAGCCGCTGGATGGCCCTTCGTTGTGTGTTTAAGTCTTGGGAGCGTATCCATGCTCCCACCTCATCGGGATACGTGGCGTCCTGGCACTGCCCATTCCCATTGTTCACACCACTGTTACACCCGCCCCACATGATGTGGCGGAGGGTGGCTAGTTCACGTTCGCACGCGCTACACTTAGCGTCCACAAACATGTCGGGGCATACGTGCCGGGCCAATGCTGGCGTTAGCACGCATTCCGTTTGCAGTTGTCGGAGCTTCACTGCTTCCGCACGTGACAGTTCACGATGCGGGGGCGGAAAGGCTCTCCTGGCCTCTCTGTAGGCCGCCAGGATCCCTCCGTAGTCGGTGAGGGGATCGAGGTCTTCTCGTTCTTCACCGCTGGTTTCAGGGAGACGGGCTGCCGCGGTCCGGCACGTGATGAGATCACGGGCCACAGCGTCCGCCTCCTCGTTGCGGTTCTCGATGTCGGGAGCCAGGTGTCGTCCCATGTGGGCTGGGAACCATTTGAGGGCGATGGTTGGTCCTGCAGCGGCGCCGCGAGCAGCCCGCGAGGCCGCGATGGACGTCACTAGCCGCTCCGTGCCCCGCCAGACCATGCCTCGGGCAAAATTCCTAATTGCCTGCTTTGAGTCGCTTAGCACCGTGCGCGTGCCCGGCCTACCTGTGGCCAGGGCTATCGCCGCCTCCTCTGCCTGGCCGACTGTTCGGGCGCGCACGGTGCTTGCTGTTAGTAGTTTACCGGTAGTGGCGCTGACCACCACTGCTGCGAAGGCGTTGCGTCTTCCCGAATATCTTGCGGCGTCCACGTAGACTGCGCCCTCGTCTCTCTGATGTTGACGGGCCAGCGCCACTGCTCTCGCCGCTCGCCTGCCCGCGTCCCTTTCTGGGTCCATGTTCTTTGGCAGCGGGTAGACAATGATTTTCCTCGCTGCCTCATCGCTCAGGGGGACTTGCTTTTCTAGCTCCCCGTCCGGTCCTGCGCCCGGGCGTTCTCCAGGAGGTAATAATCCTACCCGATCGAGTAATCCTCTGCCCGCGGCTGTGTCGCTCAGGCGGCTCAGCTGCGAAGCTCTCTGGGCCTCGCTGATCTCCGAGAGCGTGTTGTGTGTTCCCAGAGACAGCAAGGCCGTTGTCTTTGTGCCTGGTAGGAGCCCAAGAGCCCCCGCGTAAGCCTTCCGGATGGCAGCGTCGATCTTGGCTCGTTCCGCGCCGGTCCAGCGGTGAAAGGCCCCCGCATATGCCGCGTGGCTTATAACGATAGCCTGCAGCAGATGCAGGAGCCCCCTCTCTTTCATGCCCCGGTAGCGGGACGACATTCGCTTGACCAGGCGCGCGGCGATGCCCATCTTGGTTGTGATGTTCTTGACCGCCGTGGCATTGGTTTGGGTGCCGTCCACGAACATCCCCAGGACTCGAAGCCCCGGGACGTGCGGGATCTGCATACCGTCACTGGTGCGCACGATGATGTTCTCGGCCGCCTCTCGACTTGCCTTCTTTCTGTGCCTCCCAGGTGGTGGCAGGATGAGTAGCTGTGATTTTTGTGGCGAACACCGCAAGCCCGTGCCCAAGAGTGCGGACTCCACGGCGTCCACCGCCGCCTGCAGACCCGCCTCGATGTCTCCGTCGCTTCCACCCGTGGCCCAGATGGTTACGTCGTCGGCGTAGAGGCAATGTCGTATCCCCGGGCCCAGCGCCTCCAGACGCCTGGCCACCTCGATCATGACAATGTTGAACAGGAACGGGGAGATGACCGAGCCTTGTGGGGTCCCGACACTGCCCAGCTCTCGTTCTTCGAGCTTCGTTCCTCCCACCTCCAGCCTGGCCGTGCGGCGAGAAAGGAAGGCTCTGATGTAGTTGTACGATCTTGCGCCCAGCCCCAGGCGGGACACCTGAGCCAGGACCGACGAGTGTCTAACGTTGTCGAAGGCGCTCTGCAGGTCCAGGCCCAAGATCGCTCGGTTGTCATTCTTTGGAGTCCCGCCCGGTGGGTCAAGGACTTCTCGTTGGATCAGGAGCATGGCGTCTTGCGTTCCCAATTTGGCCCGGAAGCCAAGCATTGAGTCCGGGTAGACATGGTGCGCTTCCATGTAATGGTTCCACCGGGTGTTAAGAACGTGCTCCAGTACCTTTCCCACGCAGGACGTGAGCGAGATGGGACGCAGGCCCTCTATACCCGGTGGCTTGTTTGGTTTTGGCAGCAGGATCGTCTTTGCTGTCTTCCAGGCCTTGGGCAGCTTGCCGTTACGCCAGCATTCGTTGTAGTAGCGTGTCAGTGATGTGATGGCTGAGTCACTCAGGTTGCGTAGAGCTTTGTTAGTAACTCTGTCGGGTCCGGCGGCCGAACGACAGTTCAGGTCCTGGGCCGCCTGCCTCACTTCCCATTCCTCTAGATCTCGGTCGAGGTGGAGGTTCGGCTGGCCGGCGTAGTCTGGGTGATCTTCGTGACTGTTGATGGGGAGGTAGCGCTCGTTGAGTCGCTTGAACATCTCCTCTTCGCCCAGTTGACGAGCCGTGGTGTGTAGGATTTGGGCCATGCGTGTACGTTGGTATTCGCAGCTCTTGGTCTCATCCATCAGTTGCCTGAGGAGTTTCCAAGTGCCGCCACGGTGAAGCTGTCCATCAGCCTGGCTGCAGAGTGCAAACCACTGCTGTGAGCAGAGCTGCCTGCTGTGTCGCTCGATCTCTCGGCCGAGTTCTGCGATCTTCTTTCGTAGCTTTCTGTTGTGACGTTGCCGCCGCCAACGCTTTTGGAGCGAGCGCCTGGCTTCGAGGAGGTGGGCTAGTCTCGGGTCCATGGTTTCGATTTCCTCGGGTGCATCGATCTCTTCTGTGGCCCCTTCTGTTGCCGCCAGCAGCTTCGCTGACCACTCGTCGATATTGTCGACTTCGCCGAGTTCTGTGTTACGGAACTTGCTCCAGTCGACGAGTTTGTGCTTCATTGTTTTGTCGCGGTTCGGGTTTCTGTTGAGATGAGCCAGCGGTAATTCAATTTCGATGATGAAGTGATCGCTGCCCAGGTTGATTCCCGTATTCCTCCACTTCGCGGTGCCACCTTCGGGCAGCATCGCAAAGGTGAGGTCTGGATTTGTATCCCGAGCAACCGATGTTCCGATCCTTGATGGATGGGCTGGATTGATCAGTAACGTGAACTCGGCTTCGCCGGCATCTTCAAGAAGGTTCCTTCCCTTGGACGTAGTGGTCGTGTAGCCGAGCTCTCGATGTTGCGCGTTGAAATCACCGCATATTACCGCGGCAGCGTCTCCTCTTTTGGCCAGGTCTTTCTGTGCTTGTGATGTGGCGCTCTTGATCTTATGGAAAAGAGTTTTGAATTTCTGCTTTCCATGTCTTGGATTGCTATAGATGTTAGCGATGAAGACGGTGGTTGATGTCTTCTTCTTTCGTGCACCCCGGGTTCCTCGTCCTTTGCCGCTAATCGCTAGCTCGGTGACGCACAGCTCGATGGCGGTGTCCCTGCTGCCCAGGCACTATCATCTTCTTCCTCGTTGCTTTCGCTTTCTAGTTCCTCTTCGTGTTGTGCTTCCAACCCTCTTGCCACCGCAATCATGGATGCCCTTGTTGGGGTCTTCGCTTTGGCGGTGAATTGGTAGGTCTTAGGGGTTGTAGTGTTGACAAAGCGGTTGCCCGTGATGTTCGTTGGGGTTCCGTTGTCATCCTCATCGGCGTCTGTCACCATCTTGTTGTTGCCTTCGTTCCTTGATCCCCCCCTCTTGAAGCCTTCTAATGGCGTCTCGTTGTTCACTGAGTATTTACTTGCGACAGAAGGTGCAGAATAAACGTATAGGTCAACTGAAAAAAAAAAAATTCTTTTTAAATGGCTCACTGTTCGCGTCGAAAGCACTCGTCAGCAGCGGCGGTGGCGCGCCGATCAATAGGCGTCGGTGGCGTAGTAAAAATTGTTGGCGGCGGCGACAAAAAATGTGGTCTTTACAGGCAACTATAAAAAACCGCACCACAAATGACAATTATCTCAATAAAAGATCAGATTAACATATCAAACACTGCTTGAATCAATAAACTTTAATTTAAAAATACAACACTTTGGGAAATAGCGCGCCTAAGATCTCCGCGAAAGCTGGCGCACGTTTAAGGCCACATTTTTTTGAGGTTCGCCGATGCCGGGTATTGTCGGCACTCATGCCTCGTTAAGCACTCTCTTCCGGGTTTGACTTCGCCTTGGGGACGGCTTTAAGCTCTCCCATAGTAGAGTACCAAGTACTCTAAATCGTTACCTACTTTTTCTAACCCCCCCCCCCCCGTCTATCCTTCGGCAGTACTCTAAATCCAAAGAATATCCGCGGGATGGCTCCGTGCTTTCCCATTGTAGAGTACGACGTACTCTTATCATTACCCACTCTCAAAATAAGAAGTAGTCCCGGTACACGCAACACCAGAGCTAGATGGCGACAAGTGGGACGAAGTGAAGGCCGGCGCCGCGGAATGCTTTCGGTCGTGTGGCAAGCGCGGGAGGCGGAGATCAAAATCATCTCCGGTGTGATCCTCCTGCTGTCTCGACCGGAGTCCACCAGCCCCGGCATTGCGTCCGCGTCGCTTCGTAAAGAGCTAAGAGTAGTGCTCCAGCGACGCTGGGATGGCCTCAAGGCCGTCGCTCGCGCTGAGAGATGGGAAATGGAGGCATGGTGTAGTCGAACCATTTTGCGGCGACACCTAGCTAGGACCCACATGCCTCTGACGTCCCTCATCGATTTAGAGGTAGGTAGTCTAGTGGAAACGCCGGACGGGGTACTTGAGGTGGCAAAGCGGTTCTACGGAACCTTTACGCCGAGCCAACTCCGCCCTCGGCCCACTTTCCGCTCGTAAAAAACGAGCAGGCATTCGAGCTCTGCGACTCCCCTATCGTGGAGGAGGAGCTCCACGCGGCCTTAGTGACTATGAAGGGTAATCGTAGCCCGGCACCGACGGTTTGACGGTGGCATTTTACGTCAAACTGTGGAAAGTGCTCGGGAAGCCTTTCACCGCTCTGGTGAATAGGCTGCTGCGTGAACGGACGCAGTCAACGACTCAGATGAAGGGGCTGATCACACTCCTTTGTAAGGACGAGTCAAGACGCACCGACCTTCGGGCGTGGCGCCATATCACACTTCTCAACTGCGACTACAAGCTCATAGTCAAATGCCTGTCTGTTAGGCTCACTCCAGTACTCAGTACTGTGTTGGGACCATACCAGGCATGCTGCGTTAAAGGACGATCCTGCCAATTACATGGCTTCGCGATTAGAGACTTGATTGAATGGGCGAATGCACGGGACGTCCCGGGTATTCTATGCTCATTCGATCAGGAAAAGGCGTTCGGCAGAATAAGCCATCACTTCATTTTCCAATTTTTAAACGAGGCAGGATTTAGTGACAGGTTCGTTAGCATGATTACAGCTCTGTATTCTCGGCCGACGTCTGCTGTCATCATACAGGATCGCGTCTCGGAGTCGTTCGACGTGTGCAGGGGGGTTAGGCAGGGCGACCCGCTCTCGCCTGCCCTGTACGTGCTCGCGTTCGAACCACTTCTGCAGGAACTGACTGGCGACAGCCGACTTTGTCAGTTCCCCCTCCTACTGGGCGCCCCTCCCGTCGCGCTGTTTGCCTACGCGGATGACTTGTCTATCATAGTCCAAAACGAGGCAACCCTTTGCACTGTCTTGGAGGTTTTAGACGAGTACTGCGAGGCGAGCGGCGCACGCGTTAATCGGTCGAAAAGTGCAGTAATGTACTTAAACTCAGCTCCAAGTAGCGCGCAGCCCGTACACGGCTTACCCTTGAAGGCGAGCTGCGCATCCTAGGTTTCCACTTCGAACCGGGAGGCCTGACTCCTGAAAACTGGCGGATAGCGGAAGGCAAGGTTGAAGCCAGAATCCAGGATTTCGGCAAACTCTCTTGTCCGCTGACTGCAAGGATAACGATCGCAAGATCGTTGCTCTTCTCGATTTTAACTTACGTGGCTAGTGTTATGCCGGTCGCGAGTCGAACCAAGAATCGCTTGGAAAAGACTCTCTTCGATTTTCTATGGAGTGATTCATGTGTTTACGTGGGGCGCCTGGTCCTGAAGCTGCCCAGAGATCGGGGAGGACTCGGAGTCCCCGACCTGAGGCTCATGGCCAGAGCGCTTCACGTCAGATGGACCCGTGTAGCGTTAGACTCGGACATGACACTCACTCGAAGCTTCGCGTAGTTCTTCCTGAGCACGCGCTTACGGTAGTTCTCGACGGGCGCCCTCTCTCACTGCGTGCCCCGTGCAGGAACCTCGTCACCTTTTTACGCAAGCGCGGCTAGAACACTCGCGGAGATTCAGCTCGTCGATCCAGAGTGTGACGTAGTCGAGGTGCAACTCCAAGATTTAGTCGGCCTCATAACCCCACCTCTATCTGAGGGCTACAAGGTATTTGACCTGTCCCTGCACAAGCCGAACTGGCATCTCATCACTGCCACCTTTCTCGACGCCAAGCATGCTTCGTTTATGTACCACCTGGCAAGGGGGTGTCTGCCAATAATGTACAGACCCTTCACACCAAAAATCCAGCGAGGTGTTTGTCCTTTTTGTCACAGTCGAGAGGACGTGGTTCACATCTTTCACGAGTGCGCCCTTCCAAAAGCCCTACTCCGCAAGATAGCCGACTTATTTCAGCTCCCGGGAGTTCCATATCCCACGGTCCGGTATTTAAATCCGCTCCCTTCTCACGCGGTCAACCAGTTCGTGCTTCTTCTCGTCGAGTGCCTATAGCAAGTTTGGTTGGCGCGATGCGAGGCCGTTTACCGGGGGAGGCTGCCGGGCCTTCACGAAGTGCTTGCAAAAGCATGCGGAAGGAGGAATGGTTTCATCTCTTTCGTGAGCGGTATCCCCTAGGCACGAGGAAGTTTCTCGAAACCTGGCACCGACCGGCAGTGATCTATAGTGAGTCTAAAGGGCAACTAACCATCCAGCTATGATGGCGGAACATCTAGCAGCACGATTTGGCGAGGCATCACTCGCCTGCATGCCTTGTTTAAGTCCGTCGGCGCATTCATTTCGCGCTAGGACAAGCGACCACGCCTGGCGGTTTGTTTACTTAGAAGTGTGGCAGCTTGGGCTAGTTGGTATGGCGTGACGATAGTTATAGCGCGAGAACAAAACGACGACACAGAGACACGGATTCTGCTCGGCTGGGCCCTCCTGCCTTCTCCGGGGGAAAGCGTTTTCTTTTAGGCGGCGCGCCCTTCGGCGGGCGCTCTCTGTTCCTCTCCGGCTCCTTCTCTAGCGAGAGAAAGCATGCACTCTTTCTCCCTCCATGCTAAACTCGTTTCCCTCGCTAGCCCCTCCCTCGGCGTGTGTATACTGGTCTGCTGCGTGCACAGCTGCTGCATTGCGCGCGTAATTCAAACCGCTCGCTGGCAGGCAGCCAGCCGGCACAAGCCTGCGACGTGTTTTTCCCGCGCGCCGATCGTCTTCGTCGCGCCGCGGGGGCGTAGCGCAACCGCTCGCTTTGAGCGGGGAAAACGGGGGTCTTCGACCTCCGGTCGCTATGGAAAGGCCACATCTCCATGTGCACTGACCTCGTCAGCTGCACTAAAGAGTGGCCCCCTTGCCTGGGAAAGGTACCGGCCACCTCGTGGCATGGGGCCGTGAGATATATCGTGTCCTCACGGTTCTTTGCGCGCCGTGTGGACCCTTGTCACCCTTGCGCACCCTTGTCCGGGTAAGGCCGTTCACACAAAACAAAAAAGGACCCATCCCCTAACCAGGGGCCGGACCCCTATTGGATTGAACGTAACTGGATGATGAGTGATTGTACTCTGGGACGCGGCGCTTTTAGGTGCCAACTCCCCTTCCTTTGTGACAACGGTAGGAATGCCCGCGGGACGGCTGCATGCTCTTCCATTGTAGAGTACGACGTACTCTAATCATTTCCCACTCTATAAATAAGTAGTAGTCCCGCCGCCGTTAAAGGGCGGACCGAGGCTCGCTGGGCGCTTGTGGTCAGGAGGTTGGCCATGACCGCTAAGCGCCTTGCCATGAACAAAGATGAGAGCGGACACTCCGGCGGGGTTTGCGGCCGAGCTGCTGCGCTGATTTCAGCGCTACTAGTGGCTGGTCAGACCCTATGTCTTCAGCATATATAAATCAAGCAAAAAGTGCTTATTTCTGATGATGGGATATCCCTTATGCTCCGCAAGCGAGTGACTTTACCACTAGGCTACACACCCATGTTTCCACTAAGGGAATACATGCACAGTCGGTCGAACTTATTAAGGGAAATCTCGGAACGTACGAATCGCGGTGCGGCCAGCACTTCAGCCATGCATTGGCAGCAGCTCGCACATGTGCAGACACTAGAAGGGCCGTTGTCTGCATTGTCTGCTCAGGCGAGTGCAGCTCTGTCCGCACCACGTGTCATGTGATCTGAGATTTCCCCTAAGTGTGAAACAGACTGTACATCCACGTGAATGCTCCGTAAAACCACGTGAATTTGTACCCCTAGTGCAAAACAAATGCAGAAAGACAACGCTTCTTAATCAGACTTCACTGATTTAGTGGTAGTGCATTAAACGTCCTCAGCAAGACACGATGCAGAGTCGGCAATAATAATTGCACAAATCAATAAAAAATGTATCCCAAAAAAGTCACAGCTTTGCTGTAAAGGCGAAGCAATGAACAGGATAGCAACAAATTAGAAGGTCACGCGCAGATTGAAAAGCAGCTCGAAACGTGCCCCGCGTTTCTCAAGCACAAATGACGCACGAAACGTACTCACAGGTACAGATCGATGCACGCGAATAAGCGTCTCAGTTGTTATTTCGCGGTGTCTGAAAAGCGCACGCTTTTCGCAAACGGAGATTGCAGTGACCTTTGTGCGCCCGGTAACTCCAACAGAATCGTTCTTTGTAAAACCCGAGGCTAGCCAAGACGTACGATCCTCCGTCCTCCCCACTGTGAGATAAGGGCGCACGAAGAAGCATCGCTCCCCCCCCCCTCTGAGCAGGGCAAAGTACGCGTGGGAGATTACAGCGCATGCCGCCGCACGATGTCGCGACACGCGCTCATTGCGCCATCTTGCTGGTAATGCTTAAAACACGATAATTCCTCCCCCCCCCATATGCCAGTGAGCAGCGGTAAGTGGTAGATATCAATAGCTTGCCTTTTAATCGGTGAAGGAGGTGCTCCTCGGTGGTTCAGTGGTTAACGCCTGCGTTAGGTCCACCGCCTGCGACCTGTCCGGGCGCACGTCCATGGGGTGGCGGAAATTTCTTCCGGTCTTTTCTATAGCGCCCAAGCACGTCATGGTACATGGCAGGAAACTCTTCTGAATAGCAGTCGGCACACCTCTGTTGCCTTGCCTCTTCTGCACCAACTTCAGTTGCCGCAGCAACGAAGGTGGTGGGGGGGGGGGGGTAAATTCGGCGGTGTCGGTACCTATGGCCAACGTCGTGCCTCCACCAGTGCTCCTGCCAACCATGTTGGCGGCTGCTCTTTGGGTGGCTGCGTCGCGGCGGGTAAGTTGCCTCGCGACGAGGTGGGCGGCTATGGTTAGGCGGGATGCTGGTGAGTCTTTGCTTGTTTGTATTGCGGCAGCTGGTTTTACGGTTGCGGGTGTTGATGGTTGCAATGCCCCCCATGTGCGCGGGAAACCTCATGAGGGCCTCATCGGTAACCTTGCCTGACGCGAAATCCAGTCCCTGGTGTTAAGCATGCGAGTCACCTACTCAGACACCCAGCCTTTATTATAAAATAAATATAAATATAAAAAATTACAAATCAGTTGTTAGTCTGCCCTGGTCACTGTGTATCTATTGTGTTTGTCCTCATGTGTGTGCGCTAAAGCTTCATGCACATGGTTCATTAACGGTCCTATAGTGTCTAGAAATATATTTCTAGGAAATATAACGCTGCTGCTAAAAACCCAGATTCTCAATCGCTTGGCTTCTTCACCTTCGCCCTTTCGGTGGCGACCCCCTCTTCCTCCTCTATTTTTTTCGATGTAGAGCAGCCCGTCATGAATTCACATTACTGACACCAAACCACGTAAGAAAAACGAAGATTTGTTTGTTTTAAACCCCTGCGACCTCATAAAAATCATCTTGCTATATTCTTTTCGCAGTGACATCACTTTTATTCGGGAGGTGCCGCAACAAAGCCTCTGCTCGATCGACAGTTACTTCAGCTGGTTACCCCGCCACGGTGGTCTAGTGGCTAAGGTACTCGGCTGCTGATCCGCAGATCGCGGGATCGAATCGCGGCTGCGGCAGCTGCATTTCCGATGTAGGCCCGTGTGCTCAGATTTGGGTGCACGTTAAAGAACCCCAGGTGGTCGAAGTTTCCGGAGCCCTCCACTACGGCGTCTCTCATAATCATATAGTGGTTTCGGGACGTTAAACCCAACATATAAATCAAATCGACAGCGACGAAGAAGAGTGCTCTACTATGAAGACCTTAAGCTGCGCACCGAGTGACGATGATCCTTGGCGGCCGTTGCCGTCCGATGACCATCACATTGACAGGCGCACCAGGCTTACGCATGGCCCTATTCAGCCTCGGTTGGATTACTACCCGCAAAAAGAGACAGCAGGCGATACGCGAAGGTTTTGCGCGGGCTGGTACGACGAGTTTAACTGGCTTGAATATAGCATCGAGAAAGACGCTGCGCTTTGCTTTTACTTGCACGCTCTTCCACAGCAATCCAACGTGAGAGGGTCGTTCAGAAACACCATTCGTCTCCGTGGGCTTCAACAGACTGAAGAAAGCCGTAGAGAAAATCAGGCTTCATGAAAAATCGTAAAGTCACTTAAAAGCATCCTGTGCTGGAAATATTTCAGTAAGTGTAAACCTGTGGACGAATTAATGCGTGTTGGTTTGAGAGAAGAAAAACAAAAAAAGAAACCGAAAATTTTAAAAGGGTATTGTTGACGTTGATTCTAGTTGCGAATCGTGGCAGGCCCTTTAGATGAGATAAAGAAAGCGAGAAAAGCACAGAAATACGTTTGTTCTTAGAGATTCTTAATCTCTTGAATTAAGCGATCCTGTCTTGCAAACTCGCCGTGACTCTGGACTCAAAAACTCTCTGTACGCCAGCAATAGAACACAGAATGACCTCGTTTGAGTCTCTGCATGCTGTGAGGATGCAATCAGCAGGGAAGTTACCCCACAAATCAATACCTTTAGCTTCTTCAAGCTTGATCAACAAGCGGCGCAGCAATTCGATCAGCTGAAGCGAGTCTCAGCTATCCCTCTCTTATCGGGTCACACTCCGCTGCCCTCTCCGCTCGCCCGCTCGCTTACAAAGCCGCCCAGATAAAACTCGTTACTATTTAACCGGGTGCGCTACCTACTAAAAACGAAAACGCAGATCTCGTTTCTCACCACAGAAAAACGTCATGTGCGGCGAACGCTTCTATTGACTGCACGGAGTAAAAAAAAAAAAGAAAACATTCTTCTAACGCTGGGTCCTCACATGTGAAATGCCGTTATGGACGTTACGCAATGAATTAGCATTTCCTGACTATTCCCTTCGGGGAGGGGGGGGGTCATTTTTTTTTTCTGATTAAGAGCAAACGTGCCGGCCGCTACACTCGCTTCTATATTCCAAGTGTGCGATTCGCAGCCTGATTACGACTCGTCGAACAGCTGCTAATAATCACTGGGTTATTTGGCCCTTTTTGCCGCCGGAAGTGGATGTTGCGGGGTTGCGGTGTTCGAAAAATACAACATCCACCACTTCAGTGACTGCGGGAATATTTTTCTACACTAAAGTAGTAAATACGCCCACAACAATATTGTGCATCTACAATAAACATGCAGCTCTTCCCTTCATGCTTAATCCACTGAAAGCAAGAGAGCAACGGTGCGAATCGGCCGGATAGTCACCATGGGCAGGCTGTTTTCCTTTCTCGATACCCTAAGTGTGGTGCACAAAACATACAGAAACAGTGAAATGTTATTTTTCCACTCACCGCTCACCGCCGCCCTCGCATTGAGAGGCGTATGCACTGCCGTTTTTGTCTTAGAATCTAGCCTTCATCGCTGAGAGACGTAACAGCACAGTGGTGAAGGAAAAAAAAAAGCATTTTCGAAGAAGTGGTCGCGAGCTTTGAAAACAACAGCTTTCGACTGTAGGGGATATAAACTAAACTCCCGTCAAGACCAACGCTCACGATAAGCTTCTAACACAGTGCATCATCTCTAAAGTGCAACAGCTGCATAAAAATGCACATTAGAAACTCTAGCTCACTCTCAACATCGTGGTCACGTGAGTTGTGATGCAGACGACGGCGTCACCTAAAAACCCCACCGCCCCTGCAAAAGCACGTGACTGCTGCTGCCCTTTTCACTCTGCAGTTCGGATTGCGAGGGCCTCTTCGGGAGCATGACATCACGCAGTAAGCCTTGGCAAGCGAAGTTTTGAAGCTAGCAGTAGTGTCGGCTCAACACGCGACCTTTTCCGGGAATATCACGCAAGCAACAAGACTTGCCGAGACCTCTGGGTATGGCCCCCTGCAGGTTTTCTTTACAGTGTAATATACTTTCATCCAAGAGTGCTGCTTCGGTGCAGGCTGGTTGGCTTCGGACAGCATGAAGTACGAGTATTATTTAAGGGTGCCAAGTCTACCCCTTAGTAAATACTAAGGTTCGGACTTTGTGCCCCCCCTCCTTCCATTAGGTTGTTTGGGGGGGGCTCGCCTCCTCCTACCTCCACCCCCGTGCGCACGCCTATGTCGCAGTGCATGATTTTTGCAAGTTTCAATAAAATAGCGTCAAGTGCTTCTCACAGCAAGTTCGAATTTAAAGCCACACGCGCAACAGCACGGAAATAACGGTAGCAAGCTGGCAAAAACGCTCAGATTTAAAAAAGTGACCTTTCTCGGTCGTGTCGACACTTACCGTGGAAGAGCGCTTTGGTGAGCAAGTGGACACTGAGCCTGCCATCGCGAGCTTGAACACCCTTGTCACTGAAACCTTCGCGTTCGGCGGGGTTCGCGTGCCAAGAGGCCGCTCGGACCACATAGCCGGCCCGTACGCGAAGCTCAGCTCCCGCTGCGAGTGCCCCTCCACGCTCGTCCACCGAAAGGCCGCATCCTCCACGACTGCGACAAATGCCGAGAAAGCCAGCGTCACGCACAGCGGGAGCCGCGCCGTAACAAACCGCCGGTGCGAGTCGGGCTCCTACAGGCAATCGGAGCGTTGAAAGGTGACGCCATATAAGAGATTAACCAATCAGCTTTTACGAATGTTTGAACAAACTTATTATGAGCCGTTTGTATGACTTTTTTTTTCGTTCTCTAATGGTGCACGCCTTGCTAACGATGTTCCACCTATTGAAGGGGTGGCGATCGGAATACGTGAGAAGACCGCCGCGATGGAGCAGTGGTTAACGTCATCGCCTGCTAACTTCGAAGGTCGCGCGCGTTCGATCCAGGCCGCGACGGTCGCATTTAGGTGGAGGCGAAATGGTAGAGGCCCATGTATTGTGGGATGTCAGTGCATGTTGAAGAACTCAGGATAGTCGAAATTTCCGAAGCCCTCCGGTACGGCGTCTCTCCTAATGATATCTTGGTTTTGGGACGTAAAACCCTAGATAATCTTATTATTGGACTACGTGGGTTGTACTCGCCGGATCTGGATGGAGATGCTTCAATCTGCTTTTTGGTATCGTTCTATTCCTCAAAGTAAAGGTGCAATTGAGCTTCTCAGCGCTTACTCGTTTCATGCATTGTTACGAAAGACGGCGACGCCAACACGGTCCCGAAGGCGCCACTGCTTCGAACTCCGCCGGGAAGGTCACCAGCCGTTGGTAGCGTAGATTTCTCAGCTCGCGACTGCTTCTGCGCAGAGCTGATAGACGAGCGGACGAGACGACGGTGAGTTGAACAAGGTTTATGTACAGCATATATACAGAGGCGTAACAATTTCGGCACTGGGGCCGACAGCTTAGAGACTCGAAGAGCCGAGCTCTCTTCTCTGACAGATAGATCTACTCTCACGACGCGCCGCAGGGCTTTTTTTATATGCACCGGGAGGATTCTTTGAGTAACCAAATGTCCAACCAGAAGCGCCGCTGGCCGTGAGGTCAGAATCCTGCAATGGGGTCACTACTGGGCCGCGTCATTCTCATCGAATCTAGAGCCACTGCGCTGCAGGTGGCTGCACCCAAGGACGAGTGACGTCGCCACGCATTGCGTCAGACTCACCAGACAGGAAGGCGCCGATTGCTTCGACGGGCTCGCTGTGTGCGCGCGACAGAAAGGCACCGCCACGTGATGACGCCGTTGAGTTGTTCGCTTCAGGCGGGCTCGCGTGATGGCCTTGACACAGATTGCCTTTTTCAGAGGCATGGACGTTCGGTGTGGACTCGCAGGCATAACAGCATACAGTTCGAGGTAAGGGGACATCACCCGGTAGGGAATTCATAACTGTGTTTTTTCAAGCCAGATATGTCGTCAAACAAATATACTTAGACCCGATTCCTCGCCTAATGGACCAATGCTACGCTGCTGTGACAATATCATGTAGCTCTCGCATCATACAGAGTGACACGACGAGAGCTAAGACGTTAACAATTTGGGCTGCGCATGTCCAGGTTACGTCACATGACCACTGAGAGCCATGAAAGAGCCATGGAAAAAGAACGTGTCTACATACGATTCTTCACGAGACTATACACTCCGACCTTTCGTGTAGATACTTTGGGAACTTTCAACAACTTTGCCCTGCCTCTGAACTCTGTGATCGCTCTTCCGATGATTACTAACAGGCATATATTTATTATGTGAATTAATTGTTACTATTATCACTGCGATTACAAAATTACATTCCTGATTTAAAATAGTAGCAAATGCAAGATATGAAGACCATTATATTGATAATAACTATATAAGCACCTAGTCCATCAGGTAGCCGCATATGCTAGAAAAAAGGGCTCAGTACTTGTCTCCGATAAAACGTTCCCCAATAGCTTGCCCATACAATAGGTAATTGTTTTTTAATTACAATACGTGGAACATACAGAAGGTATACACAACGATGGCCAGACTGCAGAGTCCGGCCGTTGTCTTTAGTGCTGCCACGGCACAACGTATCTAGAATGATCTCACGAACTCGGCAAAGAGCGACACCACCTCCGACCCGGGCACAGCCACTAGCACGGAAGTCCAGGCGTGAGCCCCCCGTGAAAACTACTTTACCTGGCCCGATCTGGCTGGTAACGGAAAGGCTCAAGCCTCGACATTTGCCGACACCAAACTACAGTGCACTCGAACCTAACAGGGCAAGGGGACCGCATTGGTATAGCTGAGCTGTGCCAAGCCACTCATCAATGGAGTCGTTTTGCCCATCTCTTAGCTGATTTTTATTTGGAATATGTTCTATTTGGTTCCCTTACAGAACTTCGTTCTCTAAGAAAACCAAATAGGCACCAATTGTCTGTCTAGCTTTTGACAGCATATCTAACAGCCCTTAAAGCGACTCAACCACGAGGCGTGTTGGTTTCAAAATTTCATAATTTTTTTCATTTCTCTGGTATGTCGAATGCTCTAGGGTGGTTTCGCTTTTTGTCCTGTAAAAGGCTTTTATTGTATTTTGTACAAACTTTATTGAAGCTTTATAGAAAGTGCTTCTTTCTATATTCGTTTTGCATCGCGCCTACAATGCATTCGTATTCACATGCACGCTACTTTCTATGTTTAGGGTCGCCGGCGTATTGAGCGTGTTGATAGTTTTGATTCCGAGACAGAAAGAGATTTGTTTGATAAAAAGATAAACCAAGACTTTTCACTAAAACGGACAGTCTCCGAGAACCTTTCGTTCATGTATAATCTGAAAATATTGAATCGCAATGCGTTCTAATTTTAAAATATCTGAGGTTTCACGTCTCCAAACCACGATTCGATTATGAGAGACGCCGTAGTGATGGGCTCCGAAAATATAGACGCTGGCGTCCTTTAACGTGCCCCTAAATTTAAGCACATGTGCACTAAACATGGTCGCCTCCATCTTAAATGCAGCCGCCACAGCCGGGATTCAATCCCACAACGTTAGGGTTAGCAGTAGAGTGCCATAACCACTAGACAACCGCGGCGGGGAACGCAATGTGGTGTGGTGAGCGAGAACACCGGCAAGAAAAAAACAACGATTATGAATTTTTATAGTGAAACTTGGAAAGATTCTGCTGAAGAAAGCCAAAAATATGCCCACGGCAATTGGCTGTTGCACTGTCCGAAATTTCTCTGAGGCTAAAGATATTTTCGATGTTGACAGTGAGCACAAATTCACTCATCATTCATTCAGCATCAGCGGGAGCCTGCAAAAATACTTTGACGAAATCGGAATGATGGCTGAATGGGTCAACTACTTTCCTAAAATATTTTTGTAATTGAATACACTGTACACGATAATGGCACTGACATGTTTGAATGATGGGGTCCCATTGTATAGCCACAACTGAAGAGACGAGGCGATGGTTTAGCATTGTTGATTAAGATAACACTTTACCAGTGGACATTTCTTTTCCCAATGCTGAATGACTCCCAGTGAAAATACGCAGTCTAACACAGATTTCATTCTGCCAGCCGCTTATGGTCCTCCTGCGGGAACTCAATGAAGCTTTGGAAGACTTAGCAGCAGTGGATCAGATGTGCGGGACAGGACATCTAAACATCAGTACATTGAAATAGTTAATGCATTTCATACACTTAAATTTTATCGCCACACATTTCACAATAGATCACAAATTACCCTACTAGTTGAGATCACTTGCAGAACAACCAAGTATCCTCCTGTTTATACCAAAAAGGAATAAGAACAAGAAATGATTCATTAGCGTATTGCGGGTTCAGCCATAAGTTAGCTGACCAACATTTGGAGGCATGCCGCCTTTGTGGGCGATTCCCTTTGCCCAGAGAGGACAATACAGAAAAAAAGAAGTAGTAATAAGCTGGAAACACAGATTTTAATAGCAAAATATTTCACAAGTTGGTCGCAGAATTTGACCGGCCCAGGTGACTCTAGGATCAAGTTATTTGGGGTTAATAATTTTGTATCTTTGTGAGCAGCTAAGAAAGTTTGAGTGTTTACCTCGTACACCATGACAAAGAAATTTCAAAAAACTTCTTGGTTTACAGTAGATATAATCACAGCTATTTCTTGCGGAGGCTAACTCTGGAAGAGGAGTAGGCGAGAGCCGAAAAATCAAGATTTGTAAACAGAACTAGACTGCGAGGAATGGGGCTGCCGAAGGTCAGAAAAACGGCAGTACGCTTTAGACAGATAAAACTAAGCCTACAAAGATCAGACAAGAACGAAGGCTTGCATAAATAATCTGCGAGGCAAAAAAAGTCATAGTTTCGGCACAAGGCTAAAGCAAGGAATGTGATAGCATTACATCAGGCTGTTATACGAATTAGAAGATTTAGGAACCATGCGAAATGTTGTGAACACGGTTGATTGTACTTTAATTGACAGTATTGCAGTAACCACAGTATTTAAACAGGTGTTTATGTGAACTATTGACTACGTGACGTCCAAATGGAGACGAAGTCCAAGTTTGGCATGGAGAAACGTGACAAGCCACTGGTTTTCATGCTGAAGTACACTAACGTTGAAGTCTCCTGTGACTATAAGAGGCACATCCTGGAGGCACGCGGCACGGACGTTTTGCAGCAAGAAGTTTGGGACGTCATTCCACAAGGTTCCTGGTGACATGTACACTGTTGTGACGATGAAGCCGTGCGATGTTTTAACGGCACAAGCGTCACAACATCTCATCTGGGGCAGCGAGTTGAGTTTGTGTGTCTAAAGTTATAGCGGCGGTGCGCATTCACAGGCAGGACACTTTCCAGCCACTTTCAGAACAGTCCTGGACTTGATGCGAACAATTTTTTATGTTGGATTAGAGTGAAAGTGGAGCCAGAGGCACGTTGCAATGCCCCTTGTATCCATTTGTGTGTGCTTCAGTGAACCCTCCTCTCTCTTGATCAAGCCATCACATGCGTCAATGTTTAGAGAAACGAAATACATGCTTTGTTGAACAATGTTTCCTATGAATCCACTGACAGTAGGTCAGTGGCGAATGGTGTATACAAATAAGTCGCCGTTAGTGTGATGGACAGTATGAGCGGCGTGATCTACTTGGTTAATATGGCGCACTGAGGAGCAAGGAATGGTATGTT